ATTGGAAAGCCGGAGATAGAAGGGAAATCATTTTGCGCTGCGTGGCAAAACAAAACTTGCACAGATGCTGGCTACAGGACGCCTTACAATTCCATTGTTACTGACGTAAGTGTTTTTGTTTACTTCAACCTGACCTTGAAAAATTTGGGATTCTAAGAGAAAAAGACGAGAGGGGTAACCGATTTTGCATGGCAGCTAGAAAAATGTTACAATGAGGAAATGATAAGGCACGCTGCCGTTATGTATCGCGTGATTTCACCCCGTTATGTAAGTTGAGTAGATTATCTATCTGATCACGTAATTAGTTATTATTTTCCCAGAAGGAGTATGTATTCTTTCCTCCAATGTTTTCTTATTCAAAGAAGCTCAACTGCCTCAATAGCTTTAATTTGTAGCGTTCTCTTCACAGAATTAGGTAGAAATTATGAAAATCCCCAATAGGGTGAATTCCGTGCGTTCCTCTGTCTTACCCGCACTTTTTCGAATCGTAACTTAGACAAACTTTCCACATCGCCCTAATGCTCTGTAAATGCCTAAAGTTTCTGACTCAGAGTAAAACTCACGTCATATCATATCCATTGTCTGCATGTTTTTAAACAAACAAGCGAATGATTTCGTGCAAATCTTTGCTTAAAAGTAAGAATATGCTGTATGGCCAGAAGTTGTGCCCTTATCTGATTTGTTCAGATTATCTGTTGTCGTGATATTGGTGAACTAGTCTGCGTAGCTGGAGGTAATGTGCAGTAGTCGAGTGAGATTTGGCGGCAAAGCCTTCACGAGCGGCGTAAGCCGCGAGCGAGAAATAGGTATTTCAACGCGTCGTTCCCACGACTCCCACGACTCCGCCACCAGGTATTTCAACGCGTCGTTCCCACGTCTCCGCCACCACAACTTTAATCGCGCACCAAGACAATACCGCCAGCTACGCAGGCTATTGGTGAATGGACGTGACAAATATGAAAGGTGATATTTGATAAATTCAAATCTGGTTTCTATGTCACTTTTAAATAAATGGAAAAAATTACTCGCAATAAAGTCGATCGCACGGTATATATGTTACCAGGAGATTTTTATACTTGAAGGGAAATTTTTAGCCTTTGAAAACAGCCGTTTCTCCACGCTCTTCGCTAGGAAATTTTTAACTATTTTGTCCAAGAGTGTAGGTCGGCGAGTCCTCAATGAACATTTTTAAAGCCCCTAAACGCTTGAGTAACAGTCAAGAAAATATAGGAAATGTAAGAATGTAAGTAAGCAAGGACTACTAAAACTCTTCTCTTGTAGTATTATTTTTACTCATCACTAACGCAGGAAATTTACAGAGAACCATGAGTAGAATTGCAGGTACATCAGTTATGCTTTTTATGTTCCTTTTAGTGGGATATTTTGTGCGACGACGCAAAGAAATACGTGCCACTCACGAAGACCATATTCTACGCGGGCAAACTGTTCGGTGCGTACTTTTTCGGCTGGGTATCCGACAGATATGGGCGCCGAATGACCTTACTTATCACTATGCTTGTGCAGTTCATTGCATCCTTGATAGAAAGCTTCTCTGTCAACTTCACCATGTATGTTGTGCTTAGGGTCCCTCTTGGAATATGCAGTGGAGGTAAGATCACATTCTTACATGTATCATTGTATAGATGATGTGAGTGTCCATTGGGGTTGTGACAATATAACATAACCTAGGGGAGGTTTTGTATCCAGCGGTTTTAGTGAAAACGAGGGTTTGTGGTAGTTGCTTAGTCTCGCGGGCTCACAAAACCTCCTTAGGTAGATCTCATTTTGTATTTGCCGTCCCTTGGAGCCTCTCGCGCTGGATTCCCGTCCTCTGGATTTCGTGACTCAGGATCAGTGGCTGCAAACAATGTGCACTTCCGTTCAGGGCGAGACTCGTTCCCAGTCCCTTCCCTTTTTATTCTTAGAGCGAGTGGCGGTCACAGCGTTTTGGGCATCCCCGCGTTTTGGGCATCCCCATTCCCAAATCCCTAGCGTTTTGGGCATCCCCTTCTCATATTACTGCAGCGTTTTGGGCATCCCCCGGTACCCTCCCGGGATGCCCAAATCCCTAGTGTTTTGGTCATCCCCTCCAAAAAAATGCTGGATTTCGCGGGAAAATCGAAAACGTTTTAGAGATGGCTTCCGCTAAATATAGAAATCTTTTCCAGTGTCTTAAAAAGAAGGCTTATCAGGAAGGCTTTACAAAGCAAAAAAAACGACTCTGCGAAAATTTGCCAAAAAGTTCTAGTATGACTCAAAATTAGAGTCCTTGTTCTAGGTGGCCAAGGAGAAGGATGGCACAGCGCTTCGACGACTTGTTATCACCGAGTAAGAGAAAGGGAGGGTCTTCGAAGAGTGCCACTCTGCTCCTTTCTCTGGACACGCCGTCCGCGATAATACTTTTGCACCCTGTGAAGGTTGTTCCCAAGGTGTGGTACTTGGTCGGAATTGATTTAATAGAAGCCCCTACTACATCTCAAAACGGCAACAGATTCCTTCAGTCCCGTAGGTGTAAGAGGCCTCTGTATAAATTGTGTGACAACCTTTCGTGTGTCAAGTAGCGCTGCAGGGTTAAGTTGTACAGGCCTCAAATGTCATGCATACTATCAATTCAACACCGCAAAACTCAGTTTTATTCATGTTTGTCTTTTGATTCCTTTGTTTAGTATTCTTGTTTTTGGCTGTTTGGAATCAGACGATCGCAGCTGCCGGCGATTGCGGCATAGCTCGCTTGTAAACAGTTCTATTAAATAAAATTGAAGCTTTGCAAACAATGAAGCGTTGGAGAGCGAAGCGATGTTATGCGGTTGTAAATTTCAGTTTCGTCATGTTTTGAGCCAACGTTTACTGCCTATGGGGTTTTTTTCTGCACAAGAAACCCGGCGAAAAGTGTCAGACGATATAATTCTAACATGCATCTACTCTATTCAGCCGTAAATTCGTGATTAACATCCCCGACTTTTCCCCAGTCTGAAATAATTTAGGCAAAGTCGAAGCGATCAGCGTTTTGGGCATCCCCCACCGGGGATGCCCAAAACGCTAGGGATTTGGGAATGGGGATGCCCAAAACGCGGGGATGCCCAAAACGCTGTGACACCGCGGGAACGTTGGGAAGGCGGAGAGAGCAGACAAACTTTCCTTGGAATGCATTCTTTTTCTCCCAGGAAAGGCTGGTAACGAGTCCGGGGTAAGGTAAAAAGGACTGGTCCTATTTGTGGGGACTTCTTACCGCAGAACGCAGAGTCAGCCATGGTGAAATACTGGTTGTAGGCCCCTTGAAGGAAAGAAGCGAAATAAAACTAATCAAGACGCGCGTGTACACGCACAAAGGAAATTTTGCGTCTGCACTCAGTTCATCCAGCACAAAGATTTTCCCTTCAGGGACACGCTATCTTTCTATCAAGGTATTAACCAAATCCCTGTACCACTGTATTGAATTCCCTCTTTCAGGGTGCCTGATTGCTGGTTTCCTACTCATGACCGAGATGGCGACTCCTAAATGGCGGCGCTGGGCTAACTGTTTATCGCAGGTTGCCTACGGTGTTGGGATTGCTGTGCAAGCCTTGATTGCGTTCTTCATCAGAGACTGGAAACCCTTCAGTTTAGTGATCACTCTACTTAACTTGCCGTTCATTGCTTACTACTGGTAAGGGAAGACCCTCATACTCTCTTGTTCATGTTTATATTCTCCATTCCCCCACCCCACCCCCTTAGCCAAACAAACCTGGATCTCAAACCCCGTTCTAAAACGGCGTCAGTTTTCGAATGTCTAAACGGCAACTTCGTTTTATGGGTGTTATCTTGGAGAGAGAACGAGAGTCAATGTGAATCGGAGGCCTATTATTAAATGTACACGAACACGATCTAAAAATTAACCGTCTGCACAAATGACTATTTTTTTAGTTCATAATATCACCGTTTCTAAAATTTAACGCACTAGAGTGCATTGCAAAGTCAGAGGAAACGCAACTATAGAGCTCGAATCTACAAAACTAGACAGCGTACGTTTTTCGGCCATAAGCCTTAGGTTAATTATTTAAGGCAAGAGAGTACAAAGGAGCCCTTTCAACGACATTATTTTCGCTTGATTACCATAGGTTTATTCCGGAGTCACCTCGCTGGCTTTCAGCTAGAGGAAGAGTGGAAGAGGCCGAAGCGATCTTACGTAAAATGGCAAAAACAAATGGTACGGAGTACCCAGAAGGAGCTGTACAAGGGATGCAGACAGAAGGAAAACCCGAGGAAAGAAAAAAGACTTATCACCTGTGGCACCTGTTTAGCAATCGATACTTGATAAGAATCACTCTTATCGAGGCCTGGTCTTGGTAAGTTGAAAAGGGATCCTGTCTACACTAGTAATGAGACAGTAAAGAGATAGGTTTCTATATGATATCAGTCTAGACACACCGCATCTCTTAACTAGAATCTTAACCAGAAACCGGCTAGCCCGCAGATCCAAAGCGTACAAACGTCTGAGGGGTTTTCTTTTCAAGTTTTCTCAACAAGTGCTCTTGTGCAAGCAAAACATAATAGTTGGTCCTTTGAGGCTCGCAAACGCCAAATTGCACATAGCTACTAAAACAGACTAAATGAACCATGGCAGTTGCGGCTGAGCAGGAAATACTGTCTCGTTGTATCTTTCTTTTATTTACAGGTGCGTGACCAGCATGGTGTATTACGGGCTCGGTTTCAACTCGGGCAATTTGGCGGGAAATTTTTACTTGAACTTTGCTGCATCTGGATTGGTGGAAATTCCTGCGTACCTGCTGGCCACATATCTCGTAGAGAAGTAAGAAAAATCTCTTAGTGGTATTCTCTTTTTGATAGTATAGTCTGTAAGGTGGGTGTAGGGTTTAATGGTTCTCGATAATGTGACGTCACATTTTTCCACCGTGTTCGAACAGATCACGTCAGTCAGTCTCCTATCCAGTTGTTCTATTATCCATGATTTGTACGTAGGGGTCGACACAGATGTGGCAGAATAGCAGGGCAGTGCAGCGCGAGGACCCGCGCGCGCATCTCTGTTGCGCGTCTCTTTTAACGCTTAAAAGTCTCCTGTGGATTAAAAATATAGGTGAAGACTGGGAAGGGGCCAGGATCCATCTGTCAACACGATCATATCAGAATTATAAAACACAAACAGTGGTGATAACATTGTGAGCTTTCGCATTTTTATATACAACTATTTCGAGAAAGGTTGTCAGAAAAACTGTGCACGCGACAATCCCAAAGGGTAATATGGGGTACGATCAATACACTGTTCCTGACATTGTAGCTGCTCAATGTCAAGGCTGGTTTTCACAGGCGACGGAGTAGCAAGAGCACTCGAAAATGAAAAATCGGAGTCCTGAGTGGAGTTATAATCGCAAGAATCAATACGTTTCCAGTCGGACACCGCTTGTAACTCCGTCGCTTACGACCTCGTGAAAACGAGAGAGTGAAAATTACATTGTCATAAGCATTGTCATAGAAACAGCCGCGGAAGAATATACCAATGAAAATGCTCATACCCTCATCATGTGAAGGGTTTATTTATTTATTTATTTTTTCGCTTCTTTCCGATCCGATTAGCCAGATCGTAAACGACGAAGACGTAAATGGGATCCGATCCGTCGATTAGATCATAGCGTTCTAGATGTGTTGTGGTCGTCTTTTGTACAGGGTCTTACTATCGCTTACAAAAAACTAAGGTTTCACTCGTCCTCCTCACTACAATTTAGTTGTCTTTTTTCTCATATCGCCCTGTTTAATTTTTTTCTGACAGAGTGAACCGCCGTTTTCCTTTGGTGGCTTATTATATTATTGGAGGAGTGGCTTTGATATGTGTTTTCTTCATACAACTATCAGGTAGAATGCTCAAGTAACTGCAGTCACTCTAGTCAGACCGTATTCGCCATGCTTATAATCTTTTCCGTGGGAAAGAAAATGTCAGTTAAATACGTGGAAACAATCTAAACACAGTCCAACCTGTACCTTCGAATATAAATTCTGCATAACTGCCATAGCCACCGAGCATGCTCTTCATTTGGGGGACATTACGAGAAGTCATGCGCGAGTAGCGCGTGAAAGGAAACGCGAGAGCGATGGGCGGGGGTTTGCCGCTTGCTCATGCGTTCTCCCCCGGCTCGTTTTGCTGGCCTATCGGATTGGAGAGCTTGCTTGCAGGGTATCACGGCCATTTAGAAGCGAAAGATGTAGAAACAATTTTCTAATCTTCTTTCCATTGCCCCAAAATATGATGTCGCATTACTCCTCTTACCCACCTAGCCCACCGATAAGGGGCAAACCAACCCTCGGTATGTATGCGAGAAGGAAAAGTGATGTTGTAGCGTAGTTTTTTTTTTTATAACAAAGAGAGAAATGTCATTTCGCTATTACCCTTAAAAATTAATGAATAAAACCGACAATATACAAAATTGCCCTTGTAGTACTTATGTTGCACCAACCAGATGATTGAGAAATGCACCGGAATAAATTCACGATCTTTTTCCTCAGGAAAGCAAGATGATCATAAAGCTCTCATCATCGCACTGGCCTTGATTGGAAAGTTTACTATCTCTGCTGCTTATTACCAGATTTATATACACACCGCGGAACTGTACCCAACAGTCATAAGGTAATAACACAACATGGAGTGGAACACACTAGCCTGTTTACAATCCCCTGTTTTTCCTTAAGATCGTTGAGATCGAGGGCTTACTGTAACGGGCGGCCTTAATTTGAAGGAATCATTTTGAAAGAATTTCTAGTCAACTTAACATGGCTTTTTGCGTTTTTCCTACCCTGTTTGAATGTTTCGCGCCAGGAGAGGGCATAGAGCTCTATCTTCTCTTGTCTGCGCTCATTCGGGAATGATATGAAAGATCTCCCCACCCGGCTCAAGATAAGTTAAATGTCAAAATTGTCTACAGTCTGTGATCATTAAAACCAAGAGACTATGAGTCTCTTGTTAAAACTCATCGGCGTCACAAACAGTATAAGGGACGAGGATCCAACTCGCGACTGAGATGTGAATGGGTTAACTCTTTAAGACCCCAGTATGATCAACATCTGAATTTTTTCCCAAAAGTACTTCTACATTGTTACGAGAAAAGATTTCGTCAATCAACGAAATGATTACCAATAGGTAAATGCTTTTTTTTAAAATAATTATCTCGCCTTATTCTTTAGAACGTTTCAGGGAACAAGAAGTTAGTGCCATAAGGTTTAGAAGGTTTTTTTCTATTTTGGTGGGCCTTCTGTATCTGTGCGCATGCTAACATTTTTCCTACCAATAGTTTATCAACCCCGTTCTTAGGTTTGCATCCTTCTCGTCTCCTGGGAACGAGGCTTAACTGATGAAGAGAAGGGTTTATTGTTTCGTTTTGTTACTTTAACAGAACCATTGGAGTCGGCTTCTCCTCATTGTGCGCTCGAATTGGAGGAATGGCAGCTCCTTACATAGTGGTAAGCAAAAACACCATACTAGAACTGTCCTGCACCAGGAGCTAGAAAGAAACT